TACCCCGCTGCCTTGTCGTATCTCCTGCTGTGTGGTTGGTCTGTCTCTGTCTGCGAAGTGCATTTATCCCATTTTCGGTACGTCCTAATGAGGAGTCTACTCTGGGCTGTCATGTGTGTGCTGCTTTTAGTGCCTTCTCTCTCCGATCGGTTGCTTAGTCGGAAAGGACAAAACGTGCGCTAAATAAAGATTGCCTGCCTTTTTGGCTTCCCCTGTTCCCTCTGCATTTCACAGTCCTTAAGCGCTTGGCCAGAAAACATCAACCCAGAACGCAACGTCACATTTGAAATTCCAATATCCGTATGTGTCTGCTGCATGCCTCTCTGCTGTCACTTTCATGGCAAATTAACATGTATGCATTTCAGAAGAGAACTTCAGAAAATTGCATTGTGAAGAGCAGCTCAAGGAGGGGACAATTATTGAGACTAACATAGGCCCCTCCTTGTTTTTAGTGGACAGATAACAAACAGTGTCCAACTTTTGTTTTTAATGCCTTAAAGCCTTTCCCAAAAATATATTTAATATCCAAAAGCTCACCTTTTCCATACAGCGACGATCCACAATAAATTGACCTTTTCCAGTGTGTGATTTGAAAGTGAACAAATTATCCTTCCAATTCCAGTTCCAGCTGTTGTTGTTGGATGATCTTTTTGGGCTTAACTGTTGTTTGCAGCTGTTGTTGTTTTTATATCGATTAGCACACACAGAATGGAGCATTGGCCATGGCGTTTGCGATTTGAACATCAATTGAATGGTTTGGCGGAGGCATTTACTCTTCGCGGATCGCTTGTCGTACTTAAACAAATGATAGACACTGACACGAGACAACACCGAAGAACACAGATTTCTTATAATTATTAATTTATGCAAAGGCGAAGGCGGCGGAGGATGGTGGCCGTCGGATGGTGTGCGTAATAGGATAACGGCAACAGCGGAACCAACAACAACAACGACGACGATTGACGATGACGATTACAATTACAATTACGATGATGACGACGACGACAAGTATTGTACATATGTACAGGGTAGGCAGAGAAATACACACAACAACACACACAGAGAGACACAAAACAGACACACGCACGCACACAGAGAGAGAGACACAGAGAAAGAGAAAATACACTCACTCGCGATTATTGATAGACAGAGAAAAACGATTAGATTAACGCGGCTCGAAGATCCAGTGATCTCTGAACGATGAGACTTTGGGAGAACAACGCGATAAAGTTGACTGTTAACGGTTTTCGTACACGACGACACGAGGCAGTTTTCTTTATGTAGTTTTTGCTTTTCTTTTTGGTTGCTTTTTGCTATGCTAGTGCACACTTTCCATGGCAAAAGATGGCGGAGAACACTGCAAGGGAAACACACATTTGATTAGAATTAGAATTTAATTATGATTTTCTTGGTATTCGTTTTGGTCTAAGCCGCAGCAGCAGCCTTTCTTATTTGCGGCTCGCGACTACCATTTTTCCCGTTTTATTATGACAACGGCACCTTTTTCGGTTGGCAACGCGCACACACTGCCTGCAACGGGGACGAGGACGAAGGACAACGACTGCAGAGAGAGACGGAGCGATAGAGAATGCGAATGGGCGAGCATAAGGCACGGCTCAAAACACATTCTGCAGGGTGGGATGGACGGAACAGAGACGACAGAGAGACAAAGTGAGAGAGAGAGAGAGAGGCATTTACATATGGAGGCAGGCAGCTGCTGCTGGCTCTCTCACGGCTCTCGTTTTGTGTGGCCAATTTGAAACGCCACGAGAATGAAATGCAGCGAAACGAATGGGTAGCACAAAGCGCAATCAACAAAATAGAGAACGCAAAATAAACAAAATATAATAAAAAGGATAAGCACCAGCACCCAGCACCCAGCAGAGCAGATGAAGAGCATAAGAGAGAGAGAAGTGGTGGAGAGAGCAAAGCGGCATCTTCTCGCTCTCTCTCTCTCTCTCATCTATCTTCCTTTCTTTCTTTCCCTCCCCCAACTTCTCTCTCTCTCACTCTCTTTGGTAGGAGGTGTGCGCGCCAGGCGAAAAATCAATGAAAAATATCTGGGAAAAACTGCCGAAATTCTGCATTTGTTGTTCGTTTTCTTCGTTTTTTTTATGGTGCTGCGGCTTAAACACTTTTGGTGTATTGAGTTTTAAGGCACAATTTTCGCTTTTGTTAGTTTTGCTTTGGTCATTTCGATTTCGACCGCTCGACGGGGTCGTTTAGTGGCTTTATTATTGTCACACACAGAAAAACACGGCACATACGAGTACTTCGTTTCTATTTGATTTGTTTATGGGTGGCTGCGTGGGCGTGTAAAATCCCTGGCAGGACTCCCGGCCACCGAGAATTAAAGGGTAACGAACCTGCCTCGACGATTATTCGCGCTCTTTTTTCCTAGGGATATTCAACATAAATATACATACACATATATAAATAATATATATATTTATACGTATTTCGGCCAAGTCAAGACAAAATTCCGGTATTTCGTTGTCCGCGGCCCGGCAGTTGGATTCGAGTTTTTCAAAGTTTTTATCACACGAAAAGTTGGCAGCATTGCCCATTCACAATAAGATTGCCCGTTCACAGTAAGATAAAATTGCTCAATCACAATAGGAGAAAATTGACAATTCACAATGGGAGAGAAATTCCCTGACCGTTTAACAGCAGGAGAGAATTTCCCTAACTGTTTGGCAACTGAAAAACATTTTCCTGACTGTTTGACAACAGAATAGAAATTCCCTGACCAGAGGAATTCACCAGAGAGCTAGGTTTTAACACGAGAAAAGAAGAGTCTGTTAGGAAACGACGGACATAGGAGCCCATTCGATTTGATATTCTTATTTGATATATTTTGTAACCCCCGCTTGACAAAATATGCGAATTTGAACAGACAATAACAGTTTTGGTTAACATATGTTGGTTCATTGAATTTTCATTAACCGAAATCTGTTAGGGAAGAGAGAGCTCCCATATTTCATCGTTCCGCTCTCTTTGCCGCTCTCTCGGCGGCTGCTCGAGTCGGCGCGAGTTAAGGGCGTTTGTTTATAAAAACATTCATTTTGGACACAATCAAATCAATTCCGACCAAAACGCATGAAAGAAAAATGTTTGGTTGAATATTTTACATATTTAAATAAAATATTACAATAATTCCAATTGTACCGCAGTTTTCTTGAACCACCTGACAACTCTATAGAACATTGTATCACTCTCTGCCGCTACCTCTCTCTCACTCGCACTCATTGCATGATGTTTAGCGCTCTCTGTTTTTGCCGGCTATGCTTATGTATTGGTTTATTTATAATTCACAAATTGGTTAATTTTGCATACTCACACAAATACATGAGTGTGTTCAAGTACATGATGACAATTAATTACACTGGCGTACTTTGGCTTTGCTTTAATTAGTTATTTTATTCTTTCACTACATCTCCACAGCAACAAAAACACGCTTAGCCCGCACATGTTCATACATACAGCACACACACATGCATGTGTATGCACAATGTTTGGTAAAAGCGGCAAATAAATGCTTAATTATGTTTCTTTATCTATCACTGCTCGTTTTCTATGCACTGTTCATTTGTTTGCTGTTAATAATTGTTGTTTTATGCACTTTGTACGTTCTTGAAGCCCGTTGACTGAGAAATTGCTGAGCTGCCCATTCCCATTGACAGAGCGACGCACAGTGGAACTACGGCCATAGCCTAAACGCAAAAATAAATTCTATTAATTCGTGGATCCATAAAATACTTATTTGGTTTTATATTCATATTCAGAAATGTTCTTCAAGTTGAGTCTTAAGCCATCCAAACTATGGATAGAATTCACATAATATTTGAATTTTACCACCCGATTTTGGCCAAGGCCCCACGGTGCGCCTTGTTTACAAATGTGGAGAACTATGCAAGTGTTGCAAGTCGTAGCAGTTGAGAATTGCCTAACGCATTTTTAAATCTGCCCCACAACAAGCGTTAAATGCCTAAATTTTGTAAACACATTTTGTACCCTTTCCTTAACTTTATTTTTGGGAAAATAGTCTGCATACCTACTAATTCTACAAAACCAAGCCTATAAAATTAGATGAAGTCATTCCTTACCCTGCTTTTAAAATTCCCTGCGAACATGCTGTGAAAAAAGACGCCCCATGGCTAAACATATCGGAGGCTGCCATACTTTCGCATATATTCGATATCTTCACACGAAAATCACCCAATACAACAGAAAACGGACCATCATTTTGTTTATTTTAGATTTGTGTATCGATTTCACATGACACCCCTTTTTTCCGAAGTACCCGGCCATTTGAAAATGTAAGTATTCCTGCCACTCGAAACTTCCGGTTTTTAAATAAAATGAATTAGTTAGTCGATAATGATGATTTTTCATCATTATCCGGTGTTCATTAGCAAAATAGCAAATGTATAAACCGGATTCTAGCCCCAATTATTTTGTATAGATAAAAGAACTGCCTCCCAAACCAATCCGGGCTTATTATAATATTTATTTATGTTTCCTTTCTGCAATATTCAGGAAAACAATATAATTTTATTTCATCCTTTGTTGCGCGCGCTATTTTTCAAACATTTTCAATGAAATCAGTTAACATGGCTCTGTTAATAATTTACATACATTAACATACTGAAGAAAAAAGGGAGCTTAACATACTGAAGAAAAAAGGGAGTTTGCAGAAGATTGAAAAACTCAAATACAAATTTTTAAAATATAAGGTCATGAGGTGAGCAATCCAATAAAACCGTAAATTTATAATAAGCAAAATTTGTTCTTCAATCGGGTTAAATTATTGTTTCAGTGTTAAAAGTCTTTGCAGGCTGGTAATATCAAATAGAACATACAAATCGAGGAATATGAGTAGAGACTGCGGTGTATTTTTGGTATATTTTTAAAGAATTAGGTATATTGCGGTATATTTTTGAGGGTTGTGAGATATATTTGATCGAAAATTCAGCGGTTACACTGCACACTTATTAATATTAAACAAAACATTAAAAAAAATTGGCGGATGCAACAATACGAATCGCGGTCGCATGCAGGAAACAATTCTGCAAAATTTGTTCAACGAGACAGTAATAATCACGTAATTTGTATAAAACGCGGTGAAGTAGCAACATTTTTGCATTTTACTTCTATAATCCAAGCGAAACGCAGCTATACGTGTGAAAATCAAAGTGGAACAGCAATTCAGCCGCAAGGTAGTGTTGTGGCCGAAATATGTACACATGGTGGAATTTATAAAGAAATATTAAAGTTTTCAAGCTGCCATTTTGAAATGAAATACCTGAGAATGTGTGAATGCAAATGAAAAACAAAGAATAGGATATCAAAAGAGGCGGAAGATAAAGAGAGAGGCTGTGCGGAGATAAAATATCTCCAGAAGTGTCTGTGTGTGAGTGCGTGCGAAGCAAAAGCAGATGGATGTGGCGGAAATGGAAACATAAATATGTGTACCCAAGACGGAATGGAATAGTTTCCCAATGAATTGATGTTTTTTTTTGTTGTTCTCATTTGTTGTTAGCAATACACATGTATAATTTATAAATTGCTTTAATCTACAAATTGCTATTGCGTTTTCACTTGCGCCCCCATCTACGTTTGTTTCACTCGCACCCATGGCACATTAAAGCTCGAAAGCGCAGTTAGGTGAGCTTGCGAGAGTGTCAACTTTTGCCAGTGTGTGTGTGGCAGCGAGAGACTGAAAAGAGAGAGAGAGAGAGCGAGCTTGCGATTAAAACGGAGCTCAAAAGCAAAGTTCAACTTAGTACATTTCCACAACTCAAACCCAAACTAATTATTTTGCAGAAGAACTAAACAACAGAAAACCCCCCACCTACAAAAACTTTGAATAAAACGACACTCGAGTGACGGATAGTGAAACATTCAAGAAACAACAACGGGCAACGCAACAAGTACAAGTACATACTCGTGCCGCGCAGAATAGAAACCAGCAGAAGCAAAACCAGAACCGCAACGAGAGCAGAGCCGAGCAGCGCTGAAAGCAAAGGCAAAGAAAATTAAGTAAAGCAAAGCCCTAGAAAGCTCGAAAATGTGGAACCAAACAACAGAGGCAGCAAAAGCAACAGCCGCAGCAGCAACAAGTGATAATAGCAAGGAGGAGGCCAGTGCAGAGGAGTGTGCATGTGCTGGCGCTGCTTCCAGTGTTGAGCAGCGGAACGCTAACAAACCCAACTCATTTGATAACAGTAAACATCCAAAATCCTCATTTGGCGGCAAAATCAACGAGAAGTCGGAACAAAGGGGCGACAACGACAACGACAACGCCATTAACAAGCAAAAAGAATTTGCAGCCCAAAGCGAAACAAGTGATTCTGGTTTTATATCTGGACCCCAATCATCGCAGATCTTTAGCGAGGAGATTATCAGCGAGCACGACACCGACACCGAGCCGAAGCCCGCACCCGCCGTTGAGCCACCGCCGCAGCAAACCCGTCACGCTCCCGATCACAAGCAAATCTCTTCCGTGGTCCTTGATTCGGGCTGCATTGACGAGGACGAGACCGAGGAGGAGGACAACAACGACGAGCAGGAGCAACAGAATCCAACATCCTCCCAGGCTGGCGTCAAGCAACAGCCGGCCGCCACTGAACAAATGCGCCTCAAACACAACACAGATGCCGGCATACCACAATGGACAGTCCAAAGCAATCTGGCCGGACGTGGCGAGGTACTCAACAATCTGGGCACCACCAACAACAGCACCTCCATTTCGGGTCGCAGCAAAGCCACCCCAGCCACCAGCAGCGATATCAAGCCCACAAATGCAGCATCCACAGCATCTGCCTCTGGATCGGCTAATCTGAATAATAGCAGCATCAATATCATAAACGCCTGGGAGCAGTTCTATCAGCAGAATGACGACGGCGACACGTAAGTATTTCCGTTGAGAATTTCCCGCAAAAAAACGCACCGAGGCTGACTTGACCACCAACTGTGGGGGAGAGTTTCATGAATCACATTAAAGACAATGAGAAAGACACTGGGACTGCGACTGCGACTGCGACTGGGGAGAAACGCGACTTCAAATGCGAACGGACTGACACATGTGTGTGACTGATTCGGGGGTTTTCCTGGTATGTGGGCAGGTATCATCATCATCAGCCACAGCAACAACAGACTGCAAAAACAGGTTTTTGGGCAAGTGTTTCTTTACTTGCCTTTTTCTGGGTTTTTACACACAAACACACGGCGAAATGACCAGACAACAAGTGTTCGAATGAAAGCCAAAAAGAAATTACTGAACGGAACGGAAGGAAACAAAAGGGAGGGAGGGAGGGTTGACCTCAGGTAGCGAAAAGGGAAAGAAAAGAAAAGGTAAATAAACTCTGTCTGATCGTATTTTCCCACTCTGTCTTTCAGACCTCTACATTTGGCTTGCATATCGGGCTATGTGGATGTGGTGGCTGCCCTCATACGCATGGCCCCTCACCCATGTCTGCTCAATATCCAAAACGATGTGGCGCAGACCCCACTGCATCTGGCTGCCCTAACAGCCCAACCGAATATCATGAGAATGCTGCTACTTGCTGGAGCTGAGGTAAATACTAATCTGGTTAATCCTTAATTAAAGAGAGTGATAGAGAGAGAGAGAGAGCAAAGTTCCATCATTTAAACAATTATTATAATATCATTGCACAGCCCACAGTTCGTGATCGTCATGGCAATACGGCGCTGCATCTATCCTGCATTGCCGGTGAGAAGCAATGTGTTCGTGCCTTGACGGAGAAGTTTGGTGCCACGGAGATCCATGAGGCGCACCGCCAGTACGGACATCGTTCGAATGACAAGGCTGTTAGCTCCCTCAGCTATGCCCGTCTACCCGCCGATCTGGAGATACGCAACTACGATGGTAAGTGCCCCTAGATATGTTCCTATATGTACACATTTCTATATAGTAAATGGTTTATTTTTGGGCCACATTTTCACGAAAAATTTGTATGAATCTGTGCCAAAATGGTGTACATATTATTTCTATATGTATACTAGAATGTTTCTGTCCCGACATCGGCTAGCCACAGTGCGAGACAATGTCTGTCGCCTGATCGTAGAATATATCTATACCATTCGGGGGAATGTGTATTTGCGTACATGCACACACACGAATATTTGGTTATAGCCTTTGAACTGATGCCAAAAATACATTGTGGCCTCTCCTCCGCCACAGCATTTTCCACGCTTTTCCATCGTTAAAGCCTTCCGACAGCTCCCCCTCCTGCTGTTGGCCTTTTTTTCGCTATTGATTAACAAAAATAAACGAAAAGCAAACATTTGCCAGGTTCTCAGACGTCAGCAAAAATTACTATAAAAGCAAATTGTACAAGAAAAACGAAATGATAGACAGCAGATTCTCTTATATAAGAAAGTATTTTCCAAAATTCACTTAAATCAATTAAGCAAATGAAACATGGTTATTTATTGAATTACTTGAAGTTTCTCAAGATTTCTGTACTTCATTTTGCATGCATTTTGCGTCAAGGAAATAATTTTGTCAGGCATTTGGCAGCAGGCGTGGCGGCCCATCATTAACATTTGTTTGGTTTCCTTATTTGATTTTGAACAGAAATCGAATTATTGATTTGCATGAGGTGGAAATATGTGTGTGGGAGGCATGAGAATGGCTACCCATATATGCATGTACTTTATTTATAGAAAATCATTGTTAAATGTTAGAGAAAAATGCCACTGAAATATGCAAATACAAGTACAATATTTGTAGGGAAGATTTTCTATTATTTTAAACCAAATTTTGCTTACTATATTTAGCTAAAATACAAACCAATAAAAGTAAAAGTCTTTGTCTCGCTTTAGCCACCAAAAAACAAAGAGGTTAATAAACTTGTGTCAGAAGGTACTCTAGCAGCCAAGTTATTTGCTTTTAACCTTTCGTTTGTTTAATCGATTTCTCTCTTACATTTCTGTTTTGCTGTTGCTATAACCTTGCCCAAAAATAAAACCCAACAAAAAGAGTAGTGCCAAATGAGTTCGAGTTCGTGAGTGGCAAACATTTTGGTGAACAAACATATGTAGATATTTTTTTGTCAGCCTTTAGCCAGCAGCAGCAACCGGTTATTTGGGAGCACCAAAAACAGCTGCTCTTCATATGCAGCACATATGTATGTATTTGTGTGTGTCTATTTATGCCATATATATATAACCATTTCGAAGACTGAATATAATGTATTTTGGCTAGCCAACAGCAGCAGGCAGCAGTCAGCAGACATAGCCGACAGAAACTATTAAAAAGCAAAAACCAACAGAGGAGAGAGACGACTCCGAGACGAGCAGACGCTGCCTGAGTATTTCTCTTTTGTAATTTCTGGGTTTTCCCGATCACCAGTCTACACACAAAACTGATTTTGATTTGAAAACAATTCAAATTGTTCGAAATACTGGCCGAAGTTCTGTAAACAAATTACTCAAATAAATGCACAACGGCCTTCCTCCCTATCCTGCCAATTGACGTCAGCTTTTAGGGAATATACAAACAAAATATGAACATAAAATATCGCAGATATCAAAGTTCAATGTGTTTCCAGTGGCGCCAGCAACCCAGTCAAAATATAATCCTTTAATTTCAATAACAAACTTTCTTGAATTTTGTTTTGACAAGATGTGTCCGAGTGGAATTTGTTTCCTGGAAACCCTTTAAGAAGTAAAAAAAATGCCGAAAATGCTGACGTACTCTAAAGAATTTCCAACTGATATTTATAGCATGACTAAATTTAGTATTATATCGCACCCCATTTAAAGGGGTTTTAACTAAATTCCTTTCCAATTTAAAATGTGGGAAAATGGTGTTAAAAATAGTGCGAAACATTTGTTGAGTTTGCCTGGGTTGGCTCATGGCCAAATACGGCAACAGACAGAGCCAAAAAGAGTCCAATGAAAAAGTCTATGACAATGCAAGAGTTTTCGATCGATAAGAAAACAAAAAGAAGAAAATTACGCTTCGGTGTGGATGAAATTGGGTAAGGTTCGTTATCAATGAAGGTCCCTCCTCTAGCCTCAACTCAAAATCAAAGTCAACGTTTGATGGCTTTCTTGTGGGGAAATCCCAAGTATTTTTGTAATTACGGGCATTATATTTATCCATTTTCGTTGCCTCTTATTAACGCTACGCACTCGCAGGCACGCAACGGGGAAATGGAAATGGAAATGGATTTTGATTATAAATAACCTCACGCAATCGGAATCCCCATAGGACTTGGGCACTATAAATAGTGGAAGAGCTTTAAGCTGTGGTGCCAGGTACACTCCACTACAGAAATTCCCCACTTTGGGTAATCGATTCGTTATCTAAAAGAGCGGAGGATTGCACATATAGAAGTTTTATTATCTGGTTGGTAATTGTGACGTTTTGAAGTACCCAAGTTCTAATGTAGTGTGTGGATTCCTTTTTCGAGCTTATCTGCGTGTGTAAACAAGCGAATCCCCCGGATCGATGGTTGGATTTCCAGAATACGCCACTGGGGAACTTTATTTTTTTTTTGCAACATTGTGCAGTATGAGTTTCCCCAGGAAAAAGACCTAGACAGTCGCCTCGCAGCGCTTCCTATGCCTTATCGCATATGTGGCATTAAAGGGATTTTCAGAATCTAAAGGAACCCCCAAGCAATACGAAATATTTAAACATTTGTGCCGCATGTGTGGCATGTTGTATTGGGAATGCTGTCTTTAAATATTCCATTAAAAATTTGTTTCCCATTCATTGATTTGGAATGAGAGTACAAATCTGTTGCTGGGCACCTAAATTCCGTACTTCCCCGACGGCTATCGATTGATAAGGCTGTCCGCTCGGAGAGGTAAAGCCTAAAGCAAATGTGAGATATGTCCAGCTGTGTGTGTACCAGTCGATGTTCGATCGTCCGCAGACATTTGGTTACGTTATCAGTGCGCCGGTCAGGAAAACCCCATAGGTGGTCGTTTATTATACGATTATACGAGTACGACGCTATGGTTTCCATTCGCACAACAAATATAAGATAACTGGCTATCACGCAAATGGTTTTACCATTTCAATATTCCTTATTTACGATCATCTTGGGCTTCGGCACGATACTATATGTACATTTTGCTTGCATTAAGTGATCAATATACGCAACGTTCGATCGTTTGTTCTTTGAACCATAATTTGTATACGACAAAAGACAGTTGGAAATTCGCTATCAGTGCATGACTTGACGGAAGTTGAAAATGGAAAACCACCCATAAAACCTTTGACGCATATATATATATATCAATGGAAACTCATCTAATGATCGATTGAAGTTTACAAATGGGCAACAATTAACAACGATTGTGGGGGATTTCATAACTATGAAATCTAGAAACTTAAACAGCAAGAAACTGGAACGAGAGAGAGAGAGAGAGATTTACCTTACACGATTCGTTCTATAGAACCCGTTTTGTGTCGGGTATTATTTACTTAGTTTTGATTCTATGACATTCTATATGGCACCCATCGACAATCAACAATCAATGACTATTACATTAATGAATAACAAATTAGTCAGAGACAGGGGAGAACTGGCACTGGCATCTCCCCGCCTTTTATGCAGCTGCGGTTTCTCAATTGTAGATCTTGGGTACGTGGGTAGCTTCGATTGATGAATCGTTTTGATCCTCTCATTTCCGCCCAATCCGCTTAACTCTTTGAAGAGAACTCTGTGCGTTAAGTTTGCTGACCCCTAGAGCTGTCTTATGAGAATTAAGTTCCACGATGAACAAGGTTAAATCTGTCGGAAATGTTTTCTTTCATTATTTATACTGTTTTATCTTCAATGAATACTCGCAAAAGTGCTTATATTTAATGAGTAAAATTTACGTTTTCCCCTCTCTAGCATGAACTCATGCAAATAAATCGCTTTCAAGATTTTACGGAAGTTTTATTATTGTTATACTAAAAACACTAATACTACCTGTTGGAAAAGCCTACGCAAACCCTACCAACGTTGCTGATCTCCTTTCCCACTGCTGCTGCCACTCTGATACGGGTGAGTCGGTTGACCTCTTGTATGGGAAACCGTTGGCTCTGGCTCCGTTGCTCACTGGGGATTTTCCCCAAAATTCCCCTCCATTTGCGGCTTAATTATACCTGGGGTTTGTGTGTGTTTTCTTTTCTTTCGTTTTCTTTTTTTGTGCGCGCCACACGTGTCTGACGATCCCCGGAGTATGTAAGTATTTGCATTCCGCATTCGGATCGGTTCGCATCGAATATGTAGCTCAAAAGAAAGTCAACAATGTGGCGGTGGCGGATCGCTGACATAACCCGGACTGTTACTGGGACTGGGACTGGGACTGAAACTGGCTTTGAATCTCGGACCACCGATCGAGTAGAGTTGAGTCGCGACTCGGGGGTTGGGTCTTGAATTGAGGTGGCGGTGGCTGTGCCTTTCAAAACACTTTCATTGCCAAGTCAGTCGTTGTCGTCATGGAATGGAAAATCCGTAGCTTTAATTGTGCTAAATTTTGCGCGTTGTTTGTCATTTGTTATAGTCGTTGTTGTCATTGTTGTTGTTGTTGTCGTCGTCGCTGGCTGTTGTTTCGCTTCATTTGGCGGTCGTCTGGCTCTGGGGTTTTTCACTTGCAATTCACTTCATTTTCACGTTGGGAAAGTTCGTTCGACTTCGACACAACAAATTGGCAAACGGCAAATGGCGCCCAGAAGTCTTTCAGAAAATAAATTGCTAATTTGATATTGTCTTTTACCATATACCAATTTTTTCTTTCTATTTATTTTGTATGCTTTTGTGTGTCTTGTGTTTTGTTTGGACAGCTGAGGCAGCTTTTTTGTATATTTTATGGGTTTTGTGTGGCCCCAGGTAATTCCCCTATTGGCCTGGTACCTTCCTTTTTTGGCACGCGTTTGGGGAAAACTCAAAATACAGCTGCAAAAACTTTACAAATTGTTATCAAAGTTGGAGGAATACCCAAGGCTTATCGATAATTATCGAAACCACATCCTGCCAGGGGTGTTGCCTGACAGGGCTGTTAGATCATGGGAATTCCAGCATCTAATTGCGTCGTCGCTGAAACAAAAAGCATTCCAATAAATATTTGAATTATCTTTTATTAGGAATAAATTGAATACCATAAATGTATAATTATGAATCAATGAACCGCCAAGTTATCTCACACTTGCACTCTGAAGGACAAATATTCGTACGGAGTGAAGTGGTGGGTACTACGGGGTATACAAGAAATAAAAACACGCACCGCACCAAAAACCCGTTGTAGAAATAACAAAACAAAAACAAAAACAGATCCCATCTCACAGATCTGCCTGCTGCTGCCTGCCTGCTTCAACAATAAGCACAATTAATTAAATTTAAACGAAAGACAACAGCAGCCAGCAGCAGCAGCAGCGGGGCAACACATCGTGTTTAATATTTGCGAGCTGTCAATAAATTTATGAACTTTGCGACGACTTTTTTGGGTGACTTGTGGAGTACTTTTAACTGCGCCGTTTTTGGGTTTTTCTCCATATACTCGTACATGCATTTAACAGTTAACATGAGGTCGCCGTCGGCCAACGCCTGTGTAAATAGGTTGGCAGTAGGTGAAGTGGGTGGCAGGCATTATTTGAAAGTGTTTAATTGTCGAGTGCTCGAAAAATAGAATTTCCCATGGGTTTTTTATTCTGCGCAGTTCCCAATACGATTTCATAACGGGGGCTCAACAAATGCTTACCAATTCGATTAGCATTATACTTTACTGTTTGCACATGTCAGCCTCAATATCTCACAGACTTGTTGGCAGGCAGTTCCAGTTTCCCACCCAAAAAAAACAAAAAAAAAACACCTGAGACGCTCGCGGATTAAAGTCTTGTGACGCAGCAAAGCGGCTTGCGGGATGGGAATTCCCAAAACAAAGTTTGAAACAAACTTTTGTGTTTCATATTTCATGTTTTTATATGTACAAATGTATGATAGCTGTTTTTGGTGTCTATTTATAACTATCTTATACGAGTTGCCTACCCATCTTTAATCGTATGCTAACGATTGGCACGTTGCTAGCCAGCCGAGCTTTTGCAACAACAATTTAGGATTGTTCCGTGTCTTTTACTGCCCTGCCGCCTCATCTCTGTCTCTTCCTATCTCTATCGGTTAGTCTTAGCTGCTTCTCCTTTTAGTTAGCCAAGCTTTGGAACAGAAACGAAAAAATCTTCATGTTGTCATCGTTTATTTTTAAAGCTTGTGACACAATTGTTGCTTTTGTAAACCTCCATCATCGTAGCCGACGAGTCCGAAATAAAAATAAAAAACTGGACTGTAGAGTTTTTGACTTTCTTGAGCCGCTGTCCGCCGCTTTCTTTCTCTCACTCTCCAAACGGAACTTGAAACGTTAAAAAAGTACTGGTTTTTTATATGCCATGATCTTTGGGTAGTTGATGTAATCGTTTATTTCTGATAACCTCCTGATTTCCTGGAACCCTGGAAGTTCCTGACACAAGCTATCACTATTGCGTCTAGGATTCGACTGACTCATTTCAAACTTTGACCATTACTACATTTCCATAAATACTATTCGTAGTCATAGTCATAGGCTTAGAGACTAAATAGTTATTAAGCAACAACAAATTCTTTGAGAAAATCTCCTCTCTAAGATCTTCCTCTAAAAGTGTTGGCTTGGGGTATTATGCAAATGGGATTGCCGTGCCGTTCCGACTGCTGTTTGTGTGTGAAAGTCAATCAACAGCACGTGTAGCCGCAAAAAATACAAAATAAAAAGCAACAACAACAGCAAAAGACTACGTCAACTAATCATAAAGCCATAAAATCAAGCAAAAGGCCCAGGCATGGAATACTACACAACAAAAAAACTAAACAATCTGCCTTTGTTTTCAACGTTTTTTTCCCCCCCTATAATCTGTATGCGAGACGAGAGACCACAGAGCACAGCAACACAGAGCCGAGAAGTAAACGGCTCAATTTGAGAATGTTACCAGTGGAAGGGAGATAGCAACAGCAAAAGTGTAGAGAGAGATCAGATAAAGGAAAAGCTTGAAATACCGTTTCTTTAGTAATAGTGCTAGGGCATTAGGGCTTTTTGTGTGTGTAAATTATCTTTGAGAGAACAGACTCTGAAAAATTAATAAAGCAAATAAAAGTTCATGGTATGGTTTACTTTGCCAACTTTCAATTAATATTTGTCTACCTCTAACCCGTATAGGTACTGATAAAATAACTCAAATAGAAGTATTCGGATTGGGATCTCTTTTAATTTTAAATGTCATTTAAATTATTTCAGATTTAGCTACGTTTCGTACCTATGTATATTAGTATGTGTATCGTATCTATGGTGTGTTCAAACCAATTTGAACTTGAGCAAACTTGTTGCTGAAGCAGAAATCCAAATTCAACTTTGAGTTTGTCTTTTGGTTTGTTAACTTTAAAGCCAACTGCTTGAATTTTTGTTGTTGTTACTGCTGCTTGCTTTTGTTGTTGGCTTTGTTATTGTTGTTGAGGTTGAGCTCTGCTCTGTGTGTTATTGCTGCTGTTTTATTGTGGGAATTTCTTGGGTTTTTCAACGCACACACCCATGCACTCCACTCGTCAAGCAATCACACACACAGACATACGAGTGTGTATACACACAGTGCGAGACATGCGAAGTGAACGCGTTGTCATATTGTCTTATATGGCAAAAGCCTCCACTTGGCTGGCTGGCTGGCACCCCATACATACCCTACCCTCCAGCCCACATGGCAACCCCTTCCGTCCACTGGTCATTGTCGTAATCGAAGCTTTTATTTTTTGTAGTCGTATCATAAAACGCTACTTGTTTTACAACTGAAAGCAGTTCGAAGAGACAGAGAGAGGGAGCTTTTGACGGCTTCAAAGCTTTGAGAGCGCAGGAGATCGATCACATTTCATTCATAAATGCAGCTTTGGCACAGTGATGCGAAATGTCATTTATAGAGGGGCAAATATTTTTAATAACTTGTAACAATTTTTTAATCAAAATATTCTAATTTTTGTAATTCCAGGTGAACGCTGCGTACATTTGGCTGCTGAAGCCGGTCACATTGACATTTTACGCATTTTGGTATCACATGGAGCTGATATCAACGCTAGGGTAGGTCCATAAAAACACTCTCAATTAATTGTAAACTAATTCAAATTTTTGGCCACTTTTATAGGAGGGTAAATCGGGACGCACACCGCTGCACATTGCCATTGAGGGCTGCAATGAGGATTTGGCCAATTTCCTGCTCGATGAGTGCGAGAAGCTGAATCTGGAGACGGCCACCTTTTCGGGCCTGACAGCCTACCAGTTTGCGTGCATCATGAACAAATCCCGTATGCAGAATATACTCGAGAAGCGCGGCGCCGAAACCGTAACGCCGCCCGATAGTGATTACGATACTAGCGATATTGAAGATCTAGACGATACGAAGGTGAGCGTGACGGCATAAATTCAAAGAAAAAAAATCAAAAGAAAACTAGAACGTAAGCAAGAAAAATGGACCACCACCAGCTTCCAAAATGTTCAAAAATAATATGAAAAGAAAGGGACAAGTCCTTCAAGCTGAACTGGTATTCAGTTGAAACAATCTGTTAAGAAACTATATAAACTACTGTCACATTTATGTATTGTTAACCAAAAAAAAAAAAAAAATCAAACAGAAAGCAAACAATAGAGAGGCAGCAAGTAAAGTCCTTCAGCTGGACAGGGAATCTATGTTTTAGTAGAACCCCATTGAAAGAAGAGAAAAACAACTGCAAAATAAGATAAAGAATCAAACCAACAAAGTAACGAACAAACACTGCAAAATACAACAACTTTTACTACTGTATGCTGATTGATGTCCGTAAACCACAGTGCGTGTCACAACTACAATTACAATTATACATAGATATATGTATAGTTGTGGTTAGCACTGTAACAATTATTCGTATAAGCTGTCGTTTTATGTAAACTCTTTGATGTTCGTTGCTCTATAACTCTCTGTATCTATCCATCTACATCTACTACTATGTATTCTTGTGTGTCTGTTTTTGTGTGTTTGTAATTGTTGTATGTGCATGTGTGAGTGAGTGTGCGTAGCCCATAGATGCACTACCCCCTAACTCTTAACGCAGAAGAAAAATATGGAACCAGAAATTCTACTATACCTTAAGTTAGCTAAATCTAATTGATGTTTTCATGTTCTGACTGAAAAAAATAAATATTTTACTCTTAAAAAAAACACATTAAACAAATCCAAATAAAAAAGAATGTTCTTTAAATTATGAAGAAGATTTTGTGTGGGGGCAAAGGTATGTAAAAGTGTTTTAGTTTTAGTTTTTCAATTGTTTGTTCTTGTTTCTTGCTTCTGTTGTTGGTTAATATTGCTTTTGTTCTTTATTTTTTTGGTTAACAAAAAGTCACTCAAAGTATTGTTAGTTTATATGTTACTTAACAAACATTTTATTGTAACAATCCCCATTTTGTGTACTTGCAGATGTACGATCGCTTTGGTGATCCTCGATACTTTGTCAGCTACAGCGGCGGCAATCCCATGACAGTCGCCTGAGTGCCCTAACCACTTGTACATACCCCATAACATAGCATTACAAAATATCTATATATTCTTAAATGATTAACGAAGAAAACAACAAAAAACAAAACAAAACCCAACCCGAATTCCAAAACTTAACAAACTGGTTCAATTGCTGTTCCTGCCCCCTGCCGCTGTTTCTGCACCACGAGAAAATAAGTAAAATGTATGCAATAATCGTTCTCCCATAAAGAATGAATGTAAAATGTATATGCATGTATGTCTGATGGTACTTAAAATGAAAATAAAGCATACAAGGCTGCAGAATATCGGGCATTTTATTTATACACATTTAAACTTAAATTAAATAAAGTATTAGACCAACTCCTCCATTTAGTCTCTCTTACGATCGTCTTGGTAGTACACAGCAAACAGGGATTAAAAGTAAAGATTAGGTAAAGTAAAGCATTCAATATAAGTATAATTTTCTAGTCCATGAACAGAGCAACGTAAATAACTCTAAACTTTAAACGCAAACAGAAGGAAATATCTAATGGCAATGGTTACACACAGTCTACAATAATTATAACGTTTAAGTTATTCTCTTCTAACGGATGCTCTGTCGGAAGACGCTCTGCTTGGCCTTGCTGTTGACGCTGGCCGACTTCTTGGCTGCCAGTGGATCGGGAGCAAAGCAATTCCACAAACGCAGCGTCTCATCCGCACCGGCACTGATGACGGTGCTGCCGTCTGGGGACATGGCCATTTGCAGGACACGCGATGTGTGGCCCGTCAGATCAGCCTGCTTCACCATTGTCGGATACTTCCAGATGGTCAGCTGATTGTTGGCAAAGCCATGGGCCGAGATCAGCTCCTTGTAGTGTCGGGAGAAGAGCAGCGAGCAGACTTGTGACTTGGAATCGACCGACTTGATCAGCGAGCCATTGTTAACGTTCCAGAACTTGATGCAGCGATCAGCAGTGCCGCCACCAGAGGCCAGAGTACTGGGCTGCCAGGGACACCAGGCCAGGGCACGCACGGCCGCCTGATGCTCATTGAACTTGTGGAGCGCCTCGCTGGCCGTGCCCACGCCGCTGCTGGCCAGTGACCAAACATTCACCAGATTATCGTTGCCGCCGCTGGCCAAGTACTTGAAATCCGTTGACCACTTCAGGCCGCACACCTCCTGTGTATGCCCGGCTAGCGAGGAGATTTTGTGCTCACGCGAGCGCACATCATGATGGATAATAGTGCCATCACGACTGCCAGATGAAACGAGGAACGAATTCCAGGCCAGGGAGCCCACACGAGCACTGTGACCGTCCATGACACGCAGACGCTTCACCTTCGAGCAGTCCCAGAGCTCAACGGCTCCAGTGCTGTTGCCTATGGCCAAGATTTGACCCTCCTGGATCCAGGAGAGCGAACCAGCGTAGTCGCCCTCCTCGAACTCGGTCAGCTGTTCAATGTTGCCGCTGGCTGCATTCCACAAATAAACACAGCTGCCCAGAGCAACGGCCACAATGTTGTCACCGCTCCAATCCATCAAATTTAGATCTGCAAAAGAAATGGGACAGAGAATTGGAGAATGAACGATTCAAGGGAGGGGAATGCAAGATGCCACCTACAGTAATCGTTTATGAAGTCTGGAGCATCTAGAATTCGTTCCGAAGTGGTGGGTATATAGCGGGATCCACTCTTGGTCGATATGGGTGTCTTGATAGAGTAAACCACTTTGAGGGGATTTGTGTGGGACTCTGGAGCGGCTGGTGCCTTGTTCTGATAACACAAAATGCGGCCACCATTGCTGTCGCCAGGCACTTGGGTCACTTCCGAGAGGAGTTTCTGTCGCTCTCCCTTGTGTGCGGAGGCCTGGACATTGCTCTCGTTGCTGTTGCTAGTCGTGGCCTTGTCATTCTCCTCATCAGATTTGTCGCCCGAGTCTTTATTTACCTGCACAAAGAAAGTTATACCCATGCAATCAATGGCATTGCTGTTGTTTTTTACTCACCAGAAAGTGCGCCAGCTCAAAGTTGGTGGCCGCGCGATTCGGTATAAATCGATCGCCACCGCCTGGCGTCTTTGTTGGCGTTGTATTCGACTTCTTGGTCTTGCCCTCGCTACTCTTGCCGGGCGTCTTGGTGGGTGCCTGGACACCGGAGAAGCTGGTATTGTAGGAGACGGACAATACCGAGCGCGTCGTATTCACGCTGCCATTCAGGGACGCCTCCAGCTTCTTCTTCCAGCGTGGGGCAGGACCGCGAGTCTCGCCATCCATGATCAGAGCATTTTGCAGATCGCTTACAAAATTGAACTGGGACATCTTGGCAAACGTTCGGGGGTGTCAGGAAGTTTCAATTATAAATTATGCTTAATCAGTTGTCTGGTAATTGCACAAGCGTTTGGTTTATTTCAGCTTTTTGTTTTTCTTTTCATTCCTTTCGCGAACAATAATGGCGGTTTGATTTGGAAATGCAATGTGACCGTGAGGGGCTATCGGAAAAATGCTACTTTTACGCATCGAATTGTACTAAAAATACACCACTATTGAATTCCGCAAAGAGGCAATTTGCTTACATTTAAATAGTTTCGTTTGTATTTTGATTATAAAAACAAAACTTAAGTAAATTTCCAGGCTTGTGCGACCCTTTTCTACACGACATAACAAAGTGATGAACAATTTGAGTGTGACCGTCGTGTTCCTCCATCCCTGGGCCACAGCTGTCATCATCGCCGCCCTTGTACGAAAAATACAAGTTCGTTTTTACAACATTGAAAAGCCGAAAATTTACGTAAATAATTAGCAAGTGGTATAATTAGTTGCGTGCCTTAGCAAGAGTTATTTGTCTACACGATGGTGTTCAACTTTACCGCCTTCACGTACATCGTTGCCTTGATTGGCGACGCATTCTTGATATTTTTCGCAATATTTCATGTCATTGCGTTCGATGAGCTCAAAACAGACTACAAAAATCCAATAGATCAGTGTAACAGCCTTAATCCGGTGCGTATGATCAGTGGGAAGGCAATGTGTTTATGTATCTAATGAACTTTTACTACTTGCAGCTAGTTTTACCTGAATATTTGCTGCACATATTCCTCAACTTGTTATTCTTGGTGTGCGGCGAATGGTTCTCCCTGGCCATCAACATACCCCTTATTGCCTATCACATTTGGCGGTAAGCAGCCCGCATGCATAATGACTCACTTTACAGATTAAATTTAAAATGTATGAATATCTTTGTAGCTACAAAACTCGGCCTGTGATGTCCGGACCGGGTTTGTATGATCCCACAACGGTGCTGAAAACGGACACGCTGTCCCGCAACATGCGTGAGGGTTGGATCAAGCTGGCCGTCTATCTGATTAGCTTCTTCTACTACATCTACGGGTAATTAGCAATTAGCGTTGCAAATTAATTCGTTTTATTCTTCAGCGTGCTGTACCACTCATTTGTCTTAACATTTCTTTGGCTAATTTTAGCATGGTTTATTCGCTCATATCCACATAGAGCAAGCAGCTGCCTGGGGCTCGGTCGGGATCTCTGCATCGTCTATAAGTTGTCATAAAAAGCATAACGGGGAGTGTGTGGTGTGTACCGCTTCGGATGAGATTATCTCACAGCCGCGAACAATAAATATGTATAATTCACCTCTGTAAATCCCATTGAGTGCGCTTCATAACAAACCGATATTGAAAGTATCAGATCAGATCAGCATTTCCTTCTTCTTGTTTGCTTATGACTTGTTTTATTATTTTTATAATTTCTGTAAAATTGTATTATTAATTTTTTTTTGCATTTCGCATTCGTGGTGTAGTTGGATTTTAAGCATTAAATAAAAGTCAAATCAAAGTAATAATTGTACAATTTTTATAGCCTGAGGGATAGTGGATTATTTGACTAGCCAGCGGCTAGAGCCTCGCCCAACCACCCACACCTTTTTGTTCTACAAGATTACGTACCAAATGCTTATCAACAATGCCAACATAGATATCACAATCTAGCATATTGGCAGCGACTTGGAGACACCTTGAAATAAACGCATTTTGTTCCCCGTATCTTTATACTTTATTTTTTTACAATTCGGTTCATTTTCGGTTCGTATCGTATTGGGAGGCCACAGCATGGAATATTATTTTATATTTATTATACAAAACCAAAAATGTGTTTAATCATAATTGTGGGTGTTTTACAGAGAGGGCAAAGGTAAAAGGGCAGGCATTGGATTATGACATAAAAACAACAAAGAAAAGGAAGAAAAATATCAAAACACCGAAAATCTTAATCATCAGCCAACGATTCTTGGAGACAGACTGAAAGTATTTGAGAATCTCGCCATGCGCCGCCTCAATATTCAGCTCTGCATCGGCCACATTCGTATCGATGCGTTCGACAATCTCCTCCTGCTCCTTGACCATATGTGCCAGCTGCTGGAATATGCCGCCCAGCTCGACAATTGTCGACTCAATGTTCTGCATTGTCTCGGCGCGCTGTTGTACATAATTGTCGGACTCATCATAGATGGCCATTTGCTGTTGCTGCTGCTGGCCACCCAGGAGCGGCGATGTATCACTGCTGCCGCCCATGTCTATGCTGACCACTTGGTTCTCCTCGCTCATCAGCAGCGAGCCCTGCTTGGCCGTCGATGGGGACACGGAATGAGCAGCCCTGGGACCTGGTCCCTGGCTGAACTGATCACGGCGCGTCTTCTGGTGCTTGAGATTTTCCGTGCGCACTTCCAGAATCTGCTTGAAGTCCGTGCTCATGCTGGCCAGCTTGGATTGGAGTGCCAGAACCATGTTGGAGGAATGTGATACCAGATGTTTGCCGCTCGTGTTGCGTCGCTGATCCTTGGAAATTTCCTGCAGACGTGCAATCTGCTGATTCAATGCATTCAAATCACCCTTGATGATGTAGGTCAGTTCCTGTATCTCCTGTGGTCTGTCATCGAAGAGGCTTTTCTTTTTGGCCACTGCAAAAACAACACAAAGGAGGATTAAATGAAGAGTTCTGGCATTTCCTCACTCTCATACTCACATAGAGTTAGCTTCTCCAGCTTGACGTACGTGCTGGCTATGTTCTTGCCAATAAATCTGGCGACCATCATGAACTCGGAATAGCTCTGAATCTGTTTGGCCTTGCGGGGATCCCGTATGTTGACGGCCCGTGTGATGTTGCGTGCCTGAAGCGAACGTATCGCATTGGCAAACTCGCCCGTACGATCTCTGGCCGCCATAATGAAGATCTCCTGCTCTGGCTCTGGCTCTGACTCCTTTCGTTCGTTTTGTGTGGCTGTGAGAGCTTTTGTCGTTCCACTGTAGTTGTAGTTGTTGTTGTCGTTGTTATTGTCGCCTGGATGATTGCCGGTGACAACAGCTGCTGCTGCACTCAATGTGCGCAGTGCCTGGCCCGAGAAGGCACGCAAATTCCACTGACGAGCTGCCTTGCCGTACTTGTCGTCCGAGTCTGTTGTCTGGGCGGTAGGCAGTGACTGCGGATCGCCAATGTGTATGGCAGAGTCAAGGGTCAAGACTCCTCCTGGTGGCTGCAGTGGTGATTGCTGCCCAGGTTGTACTAGCGCGTGAGGTCCTCCGCCGCCCGATGCTTGCTGATCCTCCGCTGCGTGAAGGGTATAGGTGCTGCTGCTGTAATCCTGCTGGTCCGTTTGATGGAGTCGTCGTCGAGTTTGCATCTCATTTCAAGTTACGCTTTTCCCCCACAAGTTGACGTTGCTAGTTTTCTTTCTGAATTCGTCATACACTGGAATATTCGCAAAAGATCTCGGACTGGACTTTCCTTTGCGTTGCGAAACTTTTTCAGTTTTTTTGTTTTTTTCGCCTGCTTTTCTATGTTTTTTTCTTATTTCTTTGGCTTGCAAATGGAAGTCATGCTCTGTGTGTGTTCTATAGCATTGTTAATTTTGTTTTAAACATCATTGGATTTGGCTTTGTATATAAATTAAACAGATTTGATTGCTGAATTGTACAAGAAAACTCACAGACACACACACACACACGCAGCCACGAGCGCACACACACACCAAACGACACTTCACAGATGGCAGATGACGTGTTGATAGCGCTGTCGCATATCGATAGTCAGTTATCGATACCGCGCACAGTAGTTAAGTGACAGCTGCGTTTTCCTCCTCCTATGTTTTAATTAAATAAAGGAAAATAGCCATAATTATCAAATAAAATGACGCTATATCATTTTGGAAACTGCGTAGCTTTGCTGATGCCATACTACTTCACCTATAAATACTCTGGCCTGTAAGTTTGGGGCCCTTCAATGTGGGTCACGCTTCCGAATCAATAAAAACATTCATTACATCTCTGTTCTGTCCCCGGCACCACATTTGTACAGCTCGGAATATGGGGCATTCTGGAAGTGCGTGCAGGCGGGAGGCATCTACATATTCACTCAACTCTGTAAGATGCTCGTCCTGGCCACATTCTTCTACTCGGACACATCCTCCACGGGCAACGGAGAATTTAATTTCTTTGCGGTGAGTCTTTATCAGTGACCCCGCCATATTTACATTGCATTAAGGTTAAGGTGTGCTTTGCAGGAAATCTTTCGGTGCAGCGTGGACATAGCCGATTTGCTTGGTTTTGCCTTGATTCTGAGTCGCATACCCGGCAAAGGACATTCCAAACTAATTACGGCTGGCCTTGGCTGTGAGTGACCCAAATAATATTTATTTATGAACAAAATCAATTGAGATAATCAATTCTTGCAGGGGCCACTGCCGAGGTAATACTCTCACGTGGCATTATGCTCTGGGTTGGTGCCCGTGGCACTGAATTCAGCTGGATCTACATACTCAAGTGTCTGGAGTCGAATGTTATGCTGGTTCAGCACATATCCACGGCCACGCTCATTTGGCTGTTTACGCGCCACGATCTGAACAAGGCACTGAAGCCATTGGTTAGCGTACTGCTGGCCGTGACCGTCTTCAAGGGTGTCTGGCTAGAGGGTCTCCTACATATCCTGACCATTGGACCCTGGCTGACGATTGCCGTGAAGGCTTTGGTGGCTGCCATCATTGGCTTCTGCACGCTGCACATTTACTCGGGTCTGGCCCAGCAAATTGGCATTTAAGCGCCGTCAGTCAGCCAGTCATAATTGTATTCCTTTTGTTTAATAATTTTTTTTTATTTTGGTGTTGTCATAGGAGAGATTGAGAGAGATTTTGTAACAAAGACAACAAGAGTAAGGTTTTAGAAAATATTACGAACAAATGTTGATGAATTATTATAACTATAATAACGTAATAGTAACAAAAAGTAATAAGAAAGAAACTTAAAGATTATTGTTTGATGAGGGGAAAAACAAAAGTAACAAAAAAAATTATAAAGATGAGAATTGACGATAGATAATGATAAAATGACCCTACAAGGGGCCTTTTTTTAACAATTCCAAAAAAATAGCAACACTTAACGATTACCAACAAAATGATGGCTACTCGTCCATCGATATGTTTAAAATTAGCCTAATGGACTGCTCGCCCAGTGTTATTTGATCCATTTCATTGGAGTTTGGCCTTTTCGAGATATTTACAAAATTATCGCGTACGAGACCTGCAAGCAAAAGATTAGTTTAGCTTGAAAATAGTTTTATTTGAGGTCTTACACAATAGATGACTGAAAGCGAGGACCGCTTTAAAGCGGTCTGGGAATGTTTTGAGGAATTCATTGGCATCAATTCCTTTGAGTTCCGGATGGCTGCGCCAGGTGCTCAAAAGGTCCATCATAACATCGTAGCTGTCTGTATACACAGTGTTAAGCATAATGGACACTGCGAGCTGCTGCAACTTACCAAACTGACCATCCTCATAGCTTTTTTTCTTGTGCTTATACAAATTATTGTTGTTGCTGGGAGATGCTGCATTTACTGGCCGCAGTTGGGGCGGTGCAATGTTTTCCACACCTTCCAAGGGGATAGCCGGATCAGCAACAGCTATTTCTCCTCGTTTACCTGCTGTACACGGGTTTGACAGCTTACCAAACACCTCCTGGGCCAGAGTGTCTGTATATTCGCCACCCAAAATTGTTCGCAAAGTGCTCTCACAGTCGGCGTCCATTTGTTCAATGGTTAAGGTCTGGCTTTGCCGTTTCTTTAGCACATCTGGAAAGATAAAGCTGCCAGGCAGGGGCTTAAGAAAGAGTTTCGTTGAAGTATTCCGTATCTTACTTGTTTTTTAGTGTTAATAGAAGTATTTTTGCACTTTTTAGTAACTTGCTGGGCGACAGTGCTGTAATCACTCTGTTTCTGTGCTCCTTTAGGTATTGAAGTCTGTGCTTGATTAGTACATCCCGAGAATATTTGATAAATTTGTCCACTATTAACTTATTTTGTTTGCCACGTTTTTTCGACTGCTTCCTAGGGACAGGGACATCGGTGGGTGAAGACAGTGGAGGTTGCGGCAACGCAGGTTCATGGACATCTTGTCGGTATACCGGCATAGCTAATGGAATGTTATTATCCTTGACTATAGCACTTTCAGCATTTGTGGTTCCAAATGGACTGATTCCCACGTCCAATCTAGGAATTTTAGCATCTAAAATGTCCGTTGAATTCGGGCTCAAAGAGTGACGCTTTAGGGACTGCCGGTCCCTGGGGTAGAGCTCTTCAAATATAGTCAAGTCCACCTGCTCATTGTCACCAAAACCCTCGTTATCCTTTAAAGTGATTTGCTCCTCATAGACAGAAAACTCTTCGGTGATGGTTAAATGGCTGGACAAGCTGGCTTCCTGAACCATTCGAGGCAACTCAATGGACTACAGACAAATCAGCGAAAGTATTGGAAAAGTATTCTAAGCAAATGGCTTTTATACTACCTCTTCCATGACTTCTTGTGAGCTCTCTGTGTGCCACACCTGGCAGTTGGAGATCAGGGTGCCATAGTGATCCAAGACATCGTCATCCAGCAGCTCGGGCTCCTGCAGTCTGGGACGCTTCGAGAGTCTCATTCTGGCCTGTTTGGTTATAACGTGCTTGCGCTTGTGATGCGTTCGCCCTTCTTGATGTTTGACCACCAAAGTTTCCTTCGTTGTGAGCACAAAATCGAACGTTGTCTGATTCATTTGATCCAGCAAATGTTTCGCATCGTCTGTATAGGATCATTTGTGTGTTATAACAATTTAGTTTTGTTTTTTTCTTTATCTTACCCAACAAGGTGTCCACCTGCCTCCTGTATATATGCGCCGCGCCATAGGTGAGACGCGTAATGATCTTGAAATCAACATACCCTTTGGTACGTGTGTTCAATGACCTCGCCTGATTTATTCTCAATTTATTTTCATCAATTAAGTCAGTTATTTGCTTGCTAAAAAGCCATACAACTAAGCAAACGAACTTTTTACGGCTAAGATGTACTTACCAGCAGGCCACTATGTCCACTGCCGCGATCTCATTGCGGCCCACACCTGTTTCTCGCGGGTTCTTGTTTTTGGAGGCACCTGCCTTCCAGCAGGGCTCCAACAGGTTGCTTTCATACCGGGCCAACTGTAGACTTTGAAGCATCTTTTTTCGGTGCTTTGTTTAAAATTGAAAGACATGTGCACCTGGAAATTAGGCCAATTTAAGAAAAGCCAACGGTAAAAATGTATCGTATACACCTGTGATCCTAAGAAATATACCGAAATATACCTTCACATTTTTTAAGTGTACCGTAAATATACCGTAAATCTTAAATCTTTTCCTCGATTTTTCTATTCTATCTAATGTTACTAGCTAGTTAGGATATTCAGCGCTAAAAATATAATTTTATCCAATTTATCAATCAATTTTCCAACAGATTGGCTATTACTCATGACTTCCTTTTATTTCATTTTTTACAAAATAAGGATTAAACTATAAAGGTCAACCAAATAAAATAGCATAAGACGTTAATGGCCACCATCGATAGTTTCCACTATTGTGAATCGAAACAATCGATGGCACTATCGATTTTTTTTCTCCAGCCCTAGTGTTTTGTTTAATCAAGCGAAATTGTTTAATTTCTTTAAATTATCCAAACAAGACCCGGCAAAGACAGTCATCAGAGCCCAGATCCTTAGGTCCCGCCACCAGCCAACTACAGCAATGGTAAGTGATTTGGCCAGGTCGAACATCAATTACCAGAAGCATGACTAATGGCCCCTGTGGGCGTGTTTTGTGTTTGGTGATTGCTTTTGTCAGATAAGGTCCGGTGGTTTCTGTTTATGTGCATTTATAAATAATATAATATATTTGCCCTGCAGGGTGATAACAAAATATGCGACATCAGCAACGAAGTGCTGGAGGAATTGAAGAAGTTTCGCTTCAGCAAAAGCAAAAACAATGCGGCTCTGATATGTAAGCAGAAATTTCCATGGCTACGGACAAGTTAAGTGATTGATTGATGGTTTCTTTCAGTGAAAGTCGATAGAGAGAAGCAATCTGTGGTTTTGGATGAATTTATTGATGATATCTCCGTGGATGAGCTGCAGGACACACTGCCAGGCCACCAGCCGCGCTACATAATTTATACATACAAAATGGTGCACGACGATCAGCGTGTCTCATATCCGATGTGTTTTATTTTCTACACACCAAGGGATAGTCAGGTAGGTTACAGAATGACTACAAAGAATCTGTTTTAATACTGCCATTTCAGATTGAACTGCAGATGATGTATGCCTGCACGAAGAGCGCCCTGCAGCGCGAGGTTGATCTCACGCGTGTCTACGAAATACGCGAACTGGACGAACTGACCGAAGAATGGCTCAGGGAGAAGCTAAAGTAGAGACACAAACCATTCCAGGCCGTTGTTCAAAGCAATATTTTATGATGACTCTTATTTTGGAGGCAATTCTTTTACTACGACTACATTTATACACTTTAGAAACTGGATATCAGGAGCCAATACCAACGATGCAATATGCATAACAATACCAAACAAATATGACAATTTTTTACGACACAAATCAATATATAAGCTACAGTAATGACAATTTTATGTACACATCGTCGTCGGATTGTGTATTAAGAAAGTTTGTTTAGTTTTCGCATTTAAGTATAATACGATAGAGTTTACAATCTTTCCATTGACATTAGCATTCGTAATGATCTTATAGAAGCTGTGCTTGCCAAATTCTACATTGTATTTATTGTAAAGAGAGACAAGAGCAGACCATGCAAAAATATTCCATTTTATATAAACTAAAATAAACAAAATGTGTTCGATTAGTAGTGCAACCTTTGGGCCGCTGTGTGATGCAGCATTGAGTAGCGACCCTCACTGGGTGTAGGTGGTGGCGGTGGTGGTGGTGCCAGCATATGAGCCTGTGCCATGCCCAGGTGATGCAGCGCATCGTGATGATGCATGGCCGCCGTGGACGGACCCGTGCCTGCCGGATGATGATGATGGTAATGATGTGACATGGGAGGAGCTGGCGGCAAGGGTAGATTCAGCAGATTATTGTTCACGGCGTGCGTGCGAAAGTGCAGGCTCAGGCTGTCGGCTGTGTCGAAGGCTTTATCACAGTCGGGACACTTGAAATGAGCGTGATCATCATCGAGGGTATCCAGACCCACGGGATCCGTGTCTATGGCCTCATCATCGTCATCATCCACAATGTCGTGCACCGTGCTCGACTCCAAGGGATGAAGCTTCAGCTTGTGGGTGCGCATGTCACGTCGCCGACTGAACGCCTTGCCACACACATCGCAATGATGATTCTTGATTCCCGTGTGGGTTATCATGTGCTTGGACAGATCCCCCGCCGTATAGAAGCCCTTCTGGCACAGCGTGCAGATCTGATCCCTCACTCCAACGTGTATCTTTTGATGTGCCTGAAAGTTGCCCAGCGCCGAGAACTGCTTGGAGCAGATCTCGCACTGGAAGGGCTTATCCCCCGTGTGGGTGCGTTCGTGCACCTTCAGATTGTACTTTTGGGCAAATCGCTGGATGCAATAGCCGCACTGGTAGGGTTTCTCCCCCGTGTGCGTTCGTATGTGCTGTGTGAGCTGCGCAATGCACTTGAAACTCTTGTGGCACTCGTAGCAGGTGTGCGGCATCTTGGGCAGGGGCTTGGGTCCTCGCTTCTTGTGCTGCTCGGGCGGTTTGCGTTGATAGCGCGAGCGTCGTTTGCTCGTCTTCGTGTTCGTCGGCTCCTCCTCATCACTGGAGATCAGTATATGACTCTGGGGCAGGGGTTTCTCTACAAAGTCCGTGTTGGTGGCTGCATCCTGGCGCCAGGATTCGAGCACACCCAAATATTGGCGCAATCTCAAATCGCTGTTCTCGCATTGCTGCTTAAAATGGAAGGCTACACCCAGGCGGTATATGCAGTTATTGCAAATAACCGACGGCAAGGCGTCTGTCTTGTAGACCTATAAAAAAACATCAACATAAACAAATCGACGCCAACTTTTACTCTTACTCGTATCTTGGCGCACTGCATCAGCATCACCGAGGGCATCATGGCAAAGTCTGTGCTGTAGATGGACGTCAGTGGCCCCGGGGTGCCCTCCTCCAGGCACACCCGACAAATCTTATTGTAATCCATTTAGTGGAAAAATTATTTAAATAATTCAGTAAATTTCAATCTCCAGCTGATGACCAGGGCTGGCCGAAAGCGACAGTGTTGCGCAGAGCTGCGCGGCATAACACCCTAAATAAGAAAACGGTATGACCTTATTTCGCTTCGAGCTGACGTGACAGTTGATTTGTTTGATTAAAATAAATAGAAAAAAGAGAGACCAAGAGTGAAATTCAATTATACATAAATCAATCAATCAAAGCAGGCGCTACCACCACACACAGAGTGTCCCCGGAAGACATTGGCACTGGACGTGAAGAGCACACGCAAAAAACGCAGCCTGCAAAAGTTGGAGCTGCTCGGTGAAATTTTGTGGTTGGGACACTGCTGCTGCTGCTGTGGAGGCGCCCCCTCACTCCCCAGTCCGTTTCCATCCCCGGCTCACACACACAACACACACAAGATGCTGTGTATACAATATTAGCGATTATTGAGAAAGTACGCGCAGACCCCCTCCAACACACACACACACCCGACACACACACACACACACACACACACACACAGACCAGGTGGAAATCCGCCTCAAAATTAGCCCGTAGGAGCCGCCGCCCGTGTGTGCCGGCAACAGATTTTTTCGTTGAATTATTTATGGTTTTATAAACAATACCACCCCACTCCACACCCCAACGGATAGAAGGTCAAACAAACACAGAATAGTTTGTGTTGCTCCAGCGAATGAGCAAAAAGATTTTCCCGCAGTTATAGTTTGGAGCTTGCAATGGCAACAAGTAGAAGCGAAAGCCTAGTGCCAGACGAAACGCTGCTGCTGCAGCAGGAGCACAGCCACGAGCACGACCACGAGCATCGTCATCATCAGCCAAATGGCAGCGCAGCAGCAACGAACGGCAAGGCGACAGCAGCAGCAGCATCCACGCTGATGGCCAATTCGGGTACTTTTATGAAATTTAAAACATATCTGCTGGCCCTGCGTCCTTGGTCGCTGTCCGCCAGTCTGGTGCCCACGCTGCTGGGCTCCGCTTTGGCCTATCGTTCCCAGTGGGCGGAGGAGTTTTCGATGCTTACCTTCTTCCTCACCGCCTTCACCGCGGTCACGGTCCACTGTGCGGGTAATGTGGTTAACACCTATTTCGATTTCATCAAAGGCATTGACAAGCAGAAGGCTGACGATCGCACACTGGTCGATCACATACTCACCAAGGATGAGGTAAGCAAGCGATCCAATCGATCGTTCGCTATTAATTGCTGTTTAATTAATTATTTATAAACATTTTCGTTCTAATTTAAAGGTGGTTTCGCTGGGTGCCATCTTGTATATGGCCGGCTGCGGTGGCTTTGTGCTGCTCGCTGTGCTCAGTCCAGCAAAAATGGAGCATCTGGCGCTGATCTACTTTGGCGGTCTATCGTCGAGTTTTCTGTACACAGGCGGCATTGGTTTCAAATACATTGCCCTGGGCGATCTGGTCATTCTGATACTGTTTGGCCCCATCTCGGTGCTGTTCGCATTCATGTCACAAACGGGTCACGTCGATTGGACAACAATGGGCTATGCCATACCGCTGGCACTCAACACGGAAGCCATCCTCCACAGCAACAATACGCGCGATGCGGAGAGTGATCGCAAAGCGGGCATTGTTACACTGGCCATACTCATTGGACGCACTGCCTCGCATGTGCTCTATGCCATGCTGCTTTTTACACCCTACTCGCTGTTCTTCATCTTTGGCCTGAAGTACTCGCTGTGGTTCCTGCTGCCACTCGTCACCCTGCCGCAGGCCTTTAAGATCGAAAAACGTTTCCGCAACGAACAAACAATGCATCTGGTGCCACGGCAGACCGCCAAACTGAACTTTTTCTTTGGCATTCTGTACATCGTAGCCTGCTGTTGTGCCCAGCAGCTGCCCACGTTTGTGCTGCGCAAAGTTTAGGAGGAACGAGACGATCCATATTCACAAATCGCTGCAAACATTTTTAGGGAATTTCATTAGTTTTTTATAGTCAAATGTGGAGTAGCCTCTCGTATCGTAAGAAAACAACTGAAAAATGTAATTTTGTGTCAATTTCGCGCAGGGCTTTTGATGTTGCACAAAACAAAATTTCGAACGCTTGCAACTAGTCTCCCAAACAACACCCAACACTTGTGGAACTGAACATATCCTATGTACCCCCTACACCTACTACTACTTTATACTCGCTCTTATTTATTTCACCTTTCATTTGTACCTCAAAATGTAATTTATACTCTTCCTCCTCTCCACTCGCGCGCGTTGGGAATCACGGACCAAAATGGATGTTGATGTCAGTAATCGGAAAACAAATCAGCTTATATCTAGCTGAATTGAATTGTTAGTTAAAGTTATACATCATAGCCATAAACATACATAAATGGTGCAGCAGTTACTTAAGTTTTTTGCCGTGTGCGTGTCGTGTCGTGTCGTGTGTGTTGTGTGAATCAAAATGCAGATTTACTTTATAGAAATGCTTTGAAATGCAGCTAAGTTAAGGTTAATATTTGTGTGGCTGGAAGCTGGCTTTGCTTTTCTTTTTTACACATATTATATACAACATATATACATACAATTATATATACATATATACATCTATGTAAGCCCAGTGTCTAGCAGGCAGGCTCAAGAGTGAGAAATAACGAAAGCGAAAAACACAAATTTAAATTTAAAATTTAAAGCAAAAGAAAAAGAAAAGATGGAGAATATATACACACAAAATAAGTCGAAAGTCGAGCAACAATTGTTTTCCATTAACAATAACAAATAGCTTTAACAAAAGAATAGAGAGCAAAGAGAACCGAACCGGAGAGTAAAATCCATTTGCATTCAAAAATCCATTGTGTAATTTTTATTTTTCGTGGCAATAATTATTTTGTACGCTTACTTACGTTTTTTTTGTATATTGTATAAGCCGATCCAATCATATTTCATTCATTAATTGTTTTCTATATTTAATGCTTTTGTTCTGTTAACTGAAATATCAGAGGATCGATCGAATGGATGGAAAAGAAAACCAAACTAAATGACAACTTTGTAGACTACAAAACACCACAAACCAACAATGAACAATAATAATTATAATGATATTGATAATTAAATATTTAATTAGAGAATGTAAACATGACAAGTGTGGTTTTTATTTATCTTTGTAATATCTGTTGCAATGTTACATACATTTGGGAGAGTATTGTTAGAGAGTTTATAGATTCTTTATGGAATTTCAAGACCAATGTACGACTGAATATGAGAGTCACCGCAAGACTCCGATTTTGTCTGATTCTTACACAGTTTTTCCTTGCTTTCCTTGCGAACTGTCATTCCTTATCGTCATAGATGACTATCCCACAATTAAAGAAAAGTTTATTAGCAAATATTTTCAGCTAAACGTTGATATGGCCAGGACCTATGTACATAAGTACTTATATGAATTATGTTGCTTAGCAAAATATACCTATAAAATATAAGCAAAGTTAATTCGTAATCCACACAGCTGGATCAGCAAGCCTGTTCAGGTGCTCTGGCCACCAGCATAATCTCGTATGGCTTCACTGCCGCTGTGGCACCCTCCAGTGGCACCTCCTCCGGCATTTGTCCCGGAATGGCAATCAGCTTAAAGTGCTGCAGCACGGTGGTGGTGAACATGAACAGATTCTGGCGTCCCAGCAGATCGCCCATGCAACGATGACGCCCAAAGCCAAAGGGATTGAAGGCCTCTGGCAGCTTCAGCTGGCCATCGAAGAGGTAACGCTCGGGATTGAATGTTTCCGGTTCGGGAAAGTCCACCGGATTGATGAGCATGCCACGGAAGCAGGCAATGACCATTGTGTCCTTGGGTATCTCGTAGCCAGCCAGACGCGTATCGCAGACCGCACGATGGGGAATGCCAAAAGTGTGGAGCATAAACATTCGCACCGCCTCCAGGGTGATAGCCTCGCAGTAGGGCATCTTCGAGCGATCGCGTGTCCACTCTGGAATGCGCTCCAGACCCACAACCTCCTTGATCTCGGCATAGGCCTGCTCCTGTATATCCGGCCGCAGGACCAGGTGCATGAAGCAGAAACCGAGCGACTTGTTGGTGGTCTCTGAGCCAGCCAGGAACATGTCCAGACAAATGGCCAGCAGACTTTCGTCCGAGAACATGCCCTTTTCATCGCCACCCGCCTCCTGGGCACGCAGATAGCTGTCCATGAGATCGCGCGGTTCATCGTAGTTGCGATAGGTGCGACGATGCAGCTCAATCTCCTTGCTCATAAAGGTATAGAGTGCACGATGGCTCGCCACAAAGCCATTGTAGCCGGAGTAGTCCGGCGCAATGAAACGCAGCAGCGGAAAGTGACTGAACAGCGCGCCCACCATGTCAATGTTCTTGAAGAGCTCGAAGAAGGTCTCCAGCAGTTCGGTGATCTCCGCAGAGCCCGGCTCATAGCGCTGTCCACTCAGCATGCACCACAAGGTGTTCAGCACGTAGACGCTCGTCAGATCGTGCATTTCGATCCTGGCCTGCTGCCCGCCCTCGCGGCTCACCACTGAACGGAGATCCTGCAGCAGGCAGCTGGCCTCATTATGCACAATGTCCGTCATGCCGCTGCGGGCGAAGCCAAAGTTCTTCAAGTGTCGCAGAATGAAGCGACGCTGCTCCACCCACATCTCGCCATCGGTGAGCAGCACGCCCAAGCGGGAGTTGAACGTGCGCAGGCGATAGAAGATGCCATCGGGCCGGCCATCAATGTCCTCATTGGTCATCATCTCGCTGATGGCTTCGTTTGTGTACGCAATCACCACCCTGTCCTTGCCAATCTTCAGGCCATAGAAGCCATAAGGATTCACATAGCGACTGGCCAGCACATCGACCACCTTGCAGAACATGCCCAGGCGACATCGCAGCTGTGAGATCTGCAGGGCACTGCCCACGATGGGGTACCAGCGTGGTCCTGGCGGAAATCTTCTCGGCTTGCGCACCCCGCCCAGCAGCACAGCCACCAAAGTGGCAAAGAAAATCCAGATGACCGCATAAAACATGTTTTCCCACTTTCACTTTTTCCACGTTATGTAATTCCACTCTGCTGCAACTTCGACTTGGACTTGGACTGCGGCGTCTCCTCTTCCCCAGAGTCCAGCGGCTGACGGTTCACCCAAATCGACTGAATCCGCTGACGTGACGCGGTCTCGCTTTTATAGATGTTTTTTGGCTGCGAAAGAAAAAGCTTTTTCTTTTTGTTTCCTTTTGGCGGAAAAGTTTTTGCAAAGACTTGTTTTTGGGTGATAAAAGGGGAGCAAAAGTAGTTGCAGGAGTTGAGTTGCGTGGGAGGGCGAGGATCCATGGAAAAGTGTGAGAAACGTTCTTCTTGCACGGAGTTTGAGTAAATATCCTTTGGCGTTTGGCATAGCAAATGGAAACTATGTTCTTGGATGGCCAACGAAGTTGATCAATTAGTAAATTAAATATTTGTTTGCAAAATTTGTCCTCTTATTGATTTGTCAGCTGTTAAAGAAATGTAAACAAGGTGCCGTAGATAACGTATTCACCACAGCGGAGTCTCTTTCTATCTCCATCCCCTTCTAGCGCTTGTCTCTCTGCCCGAGCGTGGTGAATAAGTTATTGGTCCTCACCACAGCGGACAACGTCAGCTTGTTCGGAATTTCATGGCGCACTTTTGCTTCTTTTGCTTGTTATGGCTTCACTTTAGGCGGAGTTTCTACAAAATTATCACCCAAGTGCAAAGTGGAATATGTAAGCCAGGTTTTAGTTCTGCAATGAACTCTAGCTTAAGAGAGCTTTAAGTGATGCAGAGCGTCGTAGAAGGTGCTTCTGGCTGTTCCTGGCAAATGTGTTTCCCATTCAACTTTAAGCATTTTAAAATTTTTGATCCACTTTCGAAGGGAGCTGCAAAATCTATTTAAATTCGGGCTTATATTATAATGTAAAAATCCACTAAAATACGCCAACAAACCGCTTTAAAATCGCACCACAAACCAGCATTTCCATTTACAGAAAATTACTAACTACTCCTGACCCCCATTGAGTGATTGCCACAAAGCTTTTTCCTTGAAGCCTTAAAGACACAAATCTGAACCGTAAACTGACCCACTGCCCACTGTAGAAAGTTCATTTATAATTTTCTAGGGGATTGAGTTGGCTTGACTGACGCCTGACGCAACAAACCCACCGACCCACCGCAATGGTCATGAGCATGAGGCAACCGCAGGGGCCCCCAAAACCCAAAGTCAAGGAAAACAAGAAAAGCGAAGAAAATGCGCAAATAGCGAGCGAAAAACTCGTTTGATCGAAAGGGAAACCACATCCGAGATGGCGAGTGAAGACCGTAGACTGGGGGAGAGCCTGGACAACTCGATTGGATGAGGCTATTATGTCATCGCCATTGCGGAAAGCACTGGGATGGACTTTGTTTTGATGATAAACTTCGCGTTGTTCCGGTTTTTGTAAGCGCGAAAGTCGGCCGAAAGTGGAGCTGGCACTGCAGACTGGAGACTGGAGACTGGAGCCTGGCATCGATTTTTTGGCATCCAAAATTGAAGCTTAAACATGAGTGCAGCTCGGGGAGACTGCCCATTTGAACGCTGACAACGAAGCTCAACGGACACGCAGGGACTCTCCTTTTGCAGGATGGGATTCAGGTGGGTTCGTGCCACATATCCAAGTCAATTCAGGAGTCACCTAAGACCTAACTTCCTCCTTCGCAGATTCATACTCTTGGCTGCCACCGGACTCGGGGCCATGTACATGATGCATCTGCTGGCACAGGACTGGAACAGGATACGCCCCATCCAAGGCATCACCATGCTGGCGGGTCAGGTTAGCTCTGGCCTCAATCTCAACAGACTGCCAGCACTGGCAGGACAAGCAAGTGCTGCGTTGACTCGGATACGTGGCAGAAGAGAGGCGCCCTCGTACCATAGACAGCGGCATGAACCGGGCTGGGGTCGTGGCACTCCCGATTCTGGCCGGGGTCCATATCGCGCACCTCCGCCTGCCATCGACTGGAAACGCATTCTCTCGCGCGATCCCTTCGAGTGCCTTCAGTCGCTGATCTGCCAGCTGATGTCCGGTGCCGAAGCAGCTGCTCCCGAGGCCGAGATTCTCATGGACTACCTCGAGTCATCGCTGGAACTGGCGCCGGCCAAGATTGGACGCGCCTTCAGTCGTGGACTGGCGCTGCGTGGCCACACGGATCGCTGCTACGATGAATATCCTTTCTGTTTGTACTCCGCGAAGACAATGTTGCGCATTCTGCGCTGGTTCGGCGAAACGGGGGAAGTTCCACAGGATATGGAAGAGGGACAGAAGGCAGAGGATTAAGACTAAGATGTTTCGTTTAAATAAAGTTTAAGAGATAAGAAAAATCGGTTTAGTTTTAAAAGAGTTTTCCCCAGAATATTGTACGTGCCATTTCGGATTACATTTTTGGATCAAAAAAAGGTAGAAGAACGCACGAAGTGTCATAGGTTGTGTGTCTCTATAAATCCTATAAATTCTCAGTCATTCTCTTTGGCAGAATTCACTTGTGCAACACGATTTAAACCTAAAGCTGGGCTGCACTTAATACAATATAATTTCCATAATAAATCTATTTTAAATGTGGAATTTTAACATGGAAGTATTCACACTCTCTAAAAAATGTAATCAACGCTTACCAAGCTGAAAGATTGACGCTAGCTCCTCCACATCTTGTTTCGGCAACAGCTTGGATTTTCTGGCAGTATTTGTACGTAATTTATTCTCCTTTTTGTGAAAATTAGTAACTGAAAACCGATACCTAAATCCCTAGTATCCTGCGAGTATCATACTTATCTGAAGCATAAATAATTCCATTTTCTTTTTAGTTAAGAACGATTCCCATCGTAAAATACTTGCTTGATTATAGAAAAAGTTTATTAATAACAATAAAGTTTTCCGGTGTTTGTTTCAGTGTGCAAAAATATTCCATATATAGTATACAGTCTATATAACAAATGATTAAAACAATAAGCGGAATGAAAACAAATCGGTAAGGATTCGGATTTGGAGCGTTCGTTGGATAAACCCCTTTGGGGGTAGATTCCGGATTAGCTTCTAAAACTTGAGGCTGCGATTTGCGCTTGAGCGATCGCTTTGTTTGGGGTATCAAAATAGGCTTTCAAAGCGCACAGCGGCATAAATCTAGATAACATAAAATATATGTGTAAAATATGTAAATAGTTAATAATAATTAGTTTGTTTTGTTTGTTCAACATGATTTGTACATAAGAGAGCGGTAGAGAGAGAGAGAGCTTCTGTTGAGAGATTGATTTCCTTTGTGCACTTTTTGATTGATTTGATTTGAGCGCCAAAAGAATTGGAAACTAAATATTAAAAATGATACAATTTGGGAAATAACTGCTTAAGATTCGATATAAAAAAGAGAAAGCACATTCAGCGAGGAAGATAAACGAGTCTTAAGGCACCCCGGAGGCCCCTTTGAGTGTAATGCTTGTCACATCCTTCACAATCATTTCGGCCACCTGCCAGGCAATCTCCTCCTGCACATTGTCCTCGGGTAGATTCACCAGCTTGCGCATGGCATTCTTGATCTTGCTCCCACTGACGCCCAGCGACCAAGGCTGCGACTTCAGCGCCACAGCATCCACAGCCTCAAAGTCTCGCTCGTAGCGCCCGAGGGAGTTGACAAAACCAAATTTAAGAGCCCCTACAGGTCGCTGCCAGAGCAGCTGTGGATTTGTTAGCTGCCGCGCATCAATGTTGAGATTTCCTGCGGCGGCTGGCTGCTTCGTTTGCTGATCCATCGCGGCCAGCAGTGTGTTGTGCTGCGAGATGTGCGTGCAGTCGGACATGGACATGGTCTTGCGGTGCCGCTGCTGTGCGGATACCTTGGAAGCACCTCGCAGGCTCAGTTTGTGCTGCAGCGAGTCTGGCACATCCTGCGCGGCGACTGGGGTGCCCCGCTTGGCCTTCAATTCATTGACATAATTGTCAAAGATGTGAGAGCTGAGGAAGTCCGCAAAATACTTTTGCTCCAGATACTTGGCCGTGACGAGCAGCGCCAAATCGAAGGCCTGCCACATGTCAGCGGGTCCGCAGATGGCCTGCTCCACGCGCAGCCGCAGCTTCTGGGACATCCACAGACGGCACTCGGACTGCAGCGAGAAGTAGCGCTCATAGATGATCATGGCATCGGACCTTGCCGCCTGCTGGTCCTCATCCCCGGCGAAACTCTTGCGGAAATTGATTGCCGTTATCCAGAACTCGAGGCACTCGCGCTCCTGCTGCTGCTCCAGATACTCCGTGAAGTAGAACAGAGCCAGTTCGCTGTAGAGCACATCGTAGATGTTGATGCTGCCCACGCCCTCGATCAGCTCCAGGCAGTAGTTGCAGTAGTAGCTGCTCTGCAGGAAGCCCTGCACATGCCCGCGCTCTAGCTGCTCCAGCACATAGTCGCGCGCCTCGTCAAAGCAGCTGGCGGGAATGGGCTGGTGCGGCAGCGACTTGTCCCTGCCACAGAGCAGCAGCGAGATGTGCGCGAGGATGACAATGGGCAGCTCCACCTGTAGACTCGCATTGACTATCAGATACTTCTGGTAGATGGCAATGGCATCGCTGATGCTCGCCCGCGAGAGATCGGTGCTGGCTTTCTGCTTGTTGATCTGCTTGTTGGTCTCCGCATATATGCGGCTCTTCTCGTCGTCCGTGAGGGGCTTCCGCATGGACAGATCGCACAGCGTCTTCAGTTCAGGTACATCGTTCTCTTCGTTTGGCTTCTGGTTTTCCGCTTTGGTCGCAGGCGCTTCGGGCTCTTCCTTTTCCCGATCCATCTGGCAGCCCACAGCCGCACGCTTAAAGTTCTCTATGTCCAAATAGAACTTGATTAAGGGTAGTGCCTGTCGCGTCTCCAGGTACTGGATAAAATAGCTCAAGCAATTCGGTTCGCTGACAATCGCCGCCAGATCCATGGTGAGCCGCGAATTGTATTTGAATATTTCTGCCAATAAAAAAGCAACAAAGAAACAATTGTTGACAGAGAAAGGTGCAGAAACGTGATAAGCAATTGTTCACGTTAATTACCATCATCAGGGCCCCCGCCATTCAGCAGGCTGACGGCATCGGATGCGCCACCATTGCTGCCGCCTTCCTCCTCTTCCATAAAAACCTCATCACAGAAACTGGTTGTGGACCGCAGCGAATGTCGCTTCTGCGCCGCACAGTCTATCACGTCCACATCATCACTGGGAGCCACCGCCGCGTCGTGGGCGCTGCTCCGACGACGGCCTGCAATCAAACAAACACACAAAAAAGAAATTGTCTTAGATTGGTGTCATGCCCACAGTGGGGGAACAGAAATTCGCCAATTTTCAGCCACTTACTGGTCTGCCTCTTGATGTACTTTAGCATCTTTACATGCTACTGCCTGGTTGCTCAGTTTGCAGCCTTTTGTTTGTTTTTTTTTTGTCAATTGTTTCTTAATTTATGCGTTGCGTAGTTTTTAAGTTTTATTTTATTTTATTTATGTTTTGTCGTGCGATGACAGGCGACAGGTGGCGCTTGCGAACTATCGAGAAAAATACCGCATTCAAAAAATATACCGAAATATCGAACTTATCGCCACTCTATTTTAACTATCTCGTATAGTTGGTGAAAGTTATAAATATCTATAAAAGTGGGTATCGTCGTGATGGTTGTGCGGTTTTTAAAGTAACAGCTGCTGACTGTTTTCAGCCCTGGTACACATTTGTCTGCAGCGACACCTGTCGTATTTTTATCGCAGTTCCTGATTTTATATATGTTCCGATACTTCTATAGTTTGTTTCTTGCGATGTTGCCGGTTAATTCAAATGGAAAGGTGGAATTGAGGAATTTACCTTTATTATGTGAATAATCAAAACTAACCCATTTTGAAACAACTCATAGTATCAGAGCTGAGAGTCATAGCTTGCTGGAAATATTATCAGAATATCAAATGATGTTGTATGATTAGCATCGGCATATTTGGGGTATTTTTTGCAATCGAAAAGGTATACTTTTGAGGGTCGGACGGCAGATTTTGTTCTTTTATTATTATGTATATTTTACATTCAAGAATATAGGGTACCGAAACACATACACCCCTGTTTTTTCAATTTTCCCTCTGGGGGATATTCTCTCTTATCCGTAGTGAATTTTTTCTCTCTCTTTTGAGGTATTTTCTCTCTACTTAGTGGGATTTGCTCTCTCCTTTCAGGGATATTCTCTCGCCGATTGGGAATCTCGTTGGGAAAACACTGTTGAGCACTGGTCAAAATGGCGGTAGTTTTCAATTGGCATTTTATAATATTAGATTAAATCACTGTGAGGGCTGTTCCCCCAAATCGAAAGTCTTCTCATTTTCATTTCTTGCAAAATAGTTTGCGAAATATATGCAGTTTTACCCCATCAAGCACAATTCCTCTACAGACATCCAGACCAATCCAATAGAAGGTCATAAAAACTAGCCAATCTTGTGGAGTACTGCTTGATAAATCTGATAAAATTATAATTTAAGCGTTGAGAATCCTAACTAATATTAATATAATTAATATATTTAATAGAACATCAAAGTCGGGGAAAAATATTTCGGACATGGGATATTGCTGTGGTAACTTTTTGCTCATGTTTGAAACGCCAAAGTGAGTCCGTCAGGAGAGCATTTCCCTGACCGTTTAGACACAGGAGAGCATTTCCCTGACCGTTTACACACAAGAGAGCATTTCCCTGCCAAGAATTTCCCCCAAAACTTCCCATTCACAATAGCGACAAACCGTTCACAATGGGAACCCCTCGTCAGCGCGCGCAGCCATATTTCGAAATCAAGCTTTTTTTGATAAACATGTTACACGCGGGTCGCGGACAAGGAAAATAGGGAAACAACGTGAAAATAGTGTCGAAAACTTCGTTGATATATTGATATTTTTGCAAAAATATCATCAGCAACAAATATACAAAAAAAATACTCAAATATAGCACAGTGTCGCGAACAACAGATATTTGGCGCTTAATGTACAGTTCATCCATTGTAACTAGTGCGCGCGCGTGTGTATTAGTGAATACCAAAGTGCTGTAGCAAAATAAAAAACAGCTGCGAATTGCACCAGAGGAAAACTTCGCACTCTGAGCGCCCAGGATCGGTATCAAATCAGCGAAAATCGAATATTTTTCGGAATACGTGAGTGTGTTTGTGTGTGTGGGCCAAACAATTTGCCGCTAAATAAGCAGCTGAAAGACCAGCTGACACAACGATCGATAGCAGTACGTGTGTGTGTGAGCAGAGTGTAAAGAGTAGAAGCGATAAGAGTGGAAGTGGAAACAGAATA